AAATAAGGGGAAGGACTGGGCAACCCCCTCAAAGATACTCCAAATTATCTGGTTATTGCTCTTGATGTTAAAACATTAAATGGACAACTATTGAACAAAGAAAGCTTGTGTAGTGTAGGTCCTAGCTGGTGCTGTGCCTGTGAACTGGAGTTCTGTGGCTCGGAAATAACCATGTCCTTTGTCACACATTAACCCCTCAGCTGTGAGGATCTTTGTCCCCCTGGTAAACACGGCCCACAGTGCGAGCAGAGATGCCCTTGCCAAAACGGAGGAGTGTGTCATCACGTCACCGGAGAATGCTCCTGCCCTTCTGGCTGGATGGTAAGCTTCCCCCACCACCCACCCCAACCCCACGCCCAAGTCAGTCGTTCCAGGACACTCAAGCGAATACACACTTTAGCACAAATGAAAGTTAAAAAAGAATGGGTAAAGATTTCAAAACTGGAAATACCTAGCCATTTTAAAGCTGAAATCCTTTACTTTAGAGAAGGCAGAAGGTGATTTAATCCTGAACTTGAAGTGTATTAAGGGTCTGCATGGAAAAGAGAGCAGCTGCCCATCCTGCATTTTCCCTCAGGATAAAAAAAAAGAAGCAAATATCTAGCTGGTAAACATGGGAGTTATTTAATGATAATTTTCTTAATGATATTCCATGAATTGCTGTCGTTCTTTGGCAACATTATTCTCAGCAATAAGGAAGAAGTTATCCCACCCTATAACTCTGGAGTCAAACCAAGTTAACCAAGTATTTCGGAACTTCTGAGAGCCTGTAGTGTGATAATCTGAGCGGAGACTGTAACTCAGGTCACCCTTTCTGCAGGTAGCAATTATTCATGCGTAGTGTTACCTGGAATTCACGATGCCTTAGTTTAATTAGACTTATCTGAAATCAGGAAATAACATTGTTATCTCTTTGAGTCGTTTTCTGTATGTCTCTACTTGAGGGCAGAAGAGGAATGCCCATGTCTGTTTCCTTTATCAGCAGATTGCCTGATGGAGCCGTTCACTTCATGGTCAGCTGTTCTTTTGGATGTTACAAGTGACTTCTTAATTGCAAAAACTCATAGCTTATGACTCTGCTGATCACCCCTCTGCCTTCCTTCATCTCTTTGCCGTCTCCTTCTCTAATCTTCCTCTCTCACCACTCCTACTAAGATCTCTTTTCCTCTCTTCTTACACCTACTTCATTACAGTGTTTCCTAGGTTTGGGTCTTGTCCTTCTCTTTTCTCGTTACAAATCCTCTTTGGAATTCTCACACAGACCAGTAGCTTTAAGAATCACCTGATGATTTCCCCAAATCTTGATGGCACTTGCCCTGAGCCCAGGTGTGTTTTTATTACCCCAACCTGGGTAACCTATAGACACAAAGCCACCATCCATCTGTTTGGGTTACACCCAAGGTATAGTCTTTGAAGCTCAACTGGGTGGTAGAATTGGTGTGGTTGTGTCTTTCATTGTGGGTAGAGGACAGAGGAGAATTGGAGTTCAGGAAGTAAGGGAGCGTTGTCAGGGCCCTGGGACAGGGGTATAACAAGTTGCAGATCCACAGTGAGGGTCAGAAATGGTGAGTAGGCCAGACAGCGTTCACTTATAGGGCAAAGCATGGAGAAGCGCCATGAGGCAGTGGAGTTGGGGGGCCTTTAACTGAGCACCTGAGGATGAAACCAACAGACAAGGCTTTGGAAGAGTACTGGGCAAATTACAGCAGGCCTAGCTCCAGCAAAACCAAACTTGTCCCTCCAAGTTGTTCTTAAGGCTACGGTTCTTCTGCTTTTTAAAAAATCTTTGTTAAACTGAAGAACACTTTCCTCTTAGTTGCCTATGGTAAAAATGCTGGATTATCTCTGACTCCCTCTCTCTTTTCATTTCCTATACTCGACGTTTTGTCCACGTTGGTCCTTAGCAAGGGGAGGATTTTTCTGGAATGGTGGAGTGTCCAGAGAGCTCTGTGCTCTTTGAGTGATGAGCTACAGGTATTTTACTCTGAGGTCTTTGTGTAGATACTGTCTGTGCAGTTGCCTCCTTCATCTGTGAGGTGGGAGCTTTTCTCAGCTGAGCTGGTCCTGGTGTGGGATAGTGGGTAGCACAGGTGGAGACCATGAGTCAAGGCAGGGAGCAGATGGATGCCCTCTGGAGGCCCAGTGGAGCCTTCTTGTCGCCACTTTCTCTCTTCTCTGGGCTTCTTACCTTGGTAGACATTGTCTCATCTCTTCTCTTTTCTTTCTTTCCTCTTTTTTGGGGGGTGGGGTGGGGACAGAATTTCACTCTGTCACCCTCGGGTTGAGTGTCATCATCACAGCTCACAGCAACCTGAATCCCTTGGGCTCAAGTGATCCTCATGCCTCAGCTTCCCAAGTAGCTGGGACTCCAGGCACCTGCCACAATGCTGGCTACTGTTTCTACTTTAGTGGAGACTGGGTCTCACTCTTGCTCTGGCCAATCTTGAGCTCCTGAGCTTTAGTGTCCCAGAGTGCTAGGATGACAGTATGAGCCACCGTGCCCGGCCTTGTAGACGTTTCTGACTGAGTGCGCCAGGTCACGGTTTTCTCTCTGCACAGCTGACCCTCCAACTTACATTTCTTCTTCACAACATTTCCTTTGTTCTGTCATGCTAGGTGCTTTTCAGAGAGGAACACGTATTCCTCTTACGCACATACCCGTCCTGGTATGTATTTAAACTGAGAGAAATAATGTCTTCTTAAGCTGTTTGCTCATGTTAATTCTTACACATAAAAATATTTCATCAACATTTCTGAAGCTTATGTGGGAAGCTTCATGGGTAGTTTAGAGTCAGGCCTGGAGAGAGTGGAAATTTTGACCAAATTTTTACCCTCACTTACTACAGACCCACCCTTGGCACATCATTTCTTCAGTCATGTTTTGGCATTTCACTGATATAATACGTTGCGCTTGAACGGAGAGATCAGAACTATTTTTGCATCTGTCCCCCTCCCCACAGTGTGAACTAATTAAAGTTTGTGACCTTATCTTTGATTCTCAGCGTTCAGCTTGATGCCTGGCACACGGATGAGTCTCAGTTAAGTGCTGATTTGAATCCTCTCTCAAAGGCCTTTTGGGTTCCAAGAGTCTGTGGAAGAAATTTCCCTCTTTGTAGATAGCTAGAAACCACCAGAGGAGACTTAATTAGCACACCAACTGCCTTTGTGGGTAGCCAGGAGTTAGAGGAAATGTATTTTCTTATGCCGTCCAGAATAAACATTTACAAAACCATCTGGTGCTTGCTAGCCTCCAATTTCAGCGTGCCCACAGTCTGCCTTTTTTTAGAGAGAACGAGGACAAAGCAACGGCTTCCAACAGTTAAAAACATTAGACAATTACCTGTTATTTGGGATATGTTGTTTGTCTAATTATAACTCCAATAAGTAGATGAGAAGCTGTGAGCTCAAGGTATACAAGCAACTGAAATAGAAAATAGTGGAGTCTTTCATTGACTTGTTGATACAGTATCTTATTCCTATCCACATAGGATTAGAGTAAATGTAATGACCGCGCTTGACAAGATGGACAGCCGCTAGGGTGAGGAGAAATGTCCAAGTTAGTCTCTTGATTTTTCTCCCCAGGAAATAAGCTTTCCTATTGATCTTGGCTCAGCAATGCTTGTTGAATCTGCTGCAAAGTGAAGTGTTTTTCTTCTGAAATAAATATCTAGGTTAATTCCTACAGAAGTGTTTCTAAGCAATGTCATTGTTAATTCAGGTACACAAAATTTTCAATCTTCTGTTATGCCGCATTTTAAGAAATAAAGCCAATGATAATGTGTGCTCTCTCCAGAACATATGGGAAAGCATTTGGAGATTCCACGTGGGCCAGATGTTGCCATTTATGTAACGGATGCTCAATAAGTATGGTTGACTTGTGTGTGTGCGGGACAGAAGGAAGAATACTTAGCAGGATTTATACATTCCTTCGGTTGCCATAATAATTTGTTGTAGCTTTATCTTAAACTTCAGTTTTTAATATGGATTTTTCGTAAGATTACTGTTCTGCTATCTTTCAATGTATCTTGAGATTTGGGCTTACCGAGCAAATATGTCAACTTAAAATTTCTAACTTTTTAAAGATGATGAAGAGTTCTAAAATGTCCTTAATCTAATTTTCTGGCAGCCCTGTTCCCACATCCCTCCTTCCCTCTGATTTTCTCTCCTTCAATCCTCCCCTGGCTGGCTGGGGGCCCATCTAATTTTCCAAGTCTCTTTGAATGCAGGGCACAGTGTGTGGTCAGCCTTGCCCTGAGGGTCGCTTTGGAAAGAACTGTTCCCAAGAATGTCAGTGCCATAATGGAGGGACGTGTGACGCTACCACAGGCCAATGTCATTGCAGTCCAGGATACACAGGGGAACGGTAAGAGACACCCTTGTATTTCTCTGACCAGTCATGAAAGGAAATTGCTGAGGGTTCGGGAGCATCTTCACCACCATGTGTCCGTGACTGTGCATCTGTACAGCACCAGTGTGTTTGACAGGGGCTGTCGTAAATCAGTATATAGAAACTGAATCGTAAGCACAGAAAGCATTACCAAAGAAAAGAAATAAAATATCAGCTACTCAGAACCCATGGTAAATGTGTCATTCCAAAAAGTTGCATGTTTAGGACTGCCACTTACATTTTAGGTACTGGTAGTCCAGTCCCCAGGTTACAAACAAGACAGATTCTATGGGTTTGTTCTTCAGTTGAATTTGTATGCAAATTGGAACAGGTACATTTACCTGTTACGCATACTGGCCTCCATTTGTTAAGTGCAAGTCATGTGTCAGTCAAACGTTTGTAACTTGGGGACTTCAGTAGCCTGTCTGTAAGTATAAGTTGGATGTTTGTAACTCAGGGATGGATTCTATTTGTGGATAGATTTATTTTAAAATGGAATGTGTACTTAGACATCTCTAAAAAGTATAAAGTTACCTTCCTAGGATTCAGTATTCTATTTAGAATATTAGTTATTATATTGTTTCTGGTAATCAGAGTAAGAGCTGCTGGGACTCAGTAGAGCTGTCTGGTCCCACGTGAAATCAGAGCAAATGGCTTAGGTGGTCCTCACAGCCACTACTGATCATTTTCTGTATTAGGTGGTAAATTGTTACCTGGGAAGGCTTGGCTCACCCTACTTTTAATTTGGTCTTTAATCTGTTATGTCTAGGAAGACTAGATAGCCAGGTGCACTGGATGTGTGTGTACAATTAGAGAACAGAGACTTGGGAGGCAGAAAGGTACAACTATATAAAACAATTTATGGAGTTTAGGATTGGGCCAGTGTGTCCTTGGAAACATTTTCATCTTTAACCTTCTAATGATAGTTGTATTAGTACTCTCCTCTGAGGTTGTTTGTAAGGATTAAATAAGTTAATACATTAAAGCATTTAGAACAGTTCTAGAACTTATAAATACATGTATTAGCTATTATTATGTTTGAATAATTCCTCTGAACTCTATAATACTAGTGATTATTAACCTGAGTGGTGCGTATCAGCTATATAAATATTAGCTGTTATCATTTCTTATGATTCCTGTGAGCTAAGGAGTCCTTCAACTTTTTTCTCCCACTTTTTCTTCTTTCTATAATTCTGGCCTTATTTTATGAATTCTAATATGATACTGTAGTGTTAGTCTCCTACCCCATGTTAGACCTGTGTTTTTTTAGTTAATTTATTTTTAAGCATTTTGCAATTTTTAAGAAATTCTATTTCACTTTATAATTGGGTATTTCTAGATAAAGTAAAGCTTGCTTTTGAATATTTACTTTTTAATTTAGTCACACTACCAAACATTTTAGTTAATATTATTTTTTAGCAAATACTGGCATGATTTAGTCATATATTCATATCCTCAACAATATGGGGAAAGGGGAGAGGAGGGGGAGGACAGATGAAGGGAGGGTGATTGGTGGGACCACACCTATGGTGCATCTTACAAGGGTACATGAGAAACTTACTAAATGTAGAATATAAACTTCTTAACACAATAACTAAGAAAATGCCATGAAGGCTGTGTTAACCAGTTTGGTGAAAATATTTCAAATTGTATATAAAACCAGCACATTGTACCCCATGACTCCATTAATGTACACAGTGATGATTTAATAAAAGAAAAATCATATCCTCTACAAAGAAGCTCATTGCTTTTCTATATTGACAGTGATTATTTCACTTTTTGAAGTTTTTGCTCTAATTTGAACCTCAGAATCAATGTTGACAAACAGAGGTAAGAGTGGAAGTCCCTATCTTGTTCCCAAGTTTATTGAAAATAGCTTTAGTGTGGCTTTCAGCGTGCTACTGGTTTTTACTAAATTGTCTTCTTCATGCTTTTGTAGTTTTTTAACCTAATTTTTATTAAGAACTTTTGTTAGTAGTATCTGTTTAATTTCATTAAAGACCTTTGTGTCTTTTCCTCATATTTTACCTTTACTTTTTTGATGTTATGAATCTGTAAGTATAAGTTGGATGTTTTAGTACTCTGTTTTTATAACAGGTAAGAGGGTTACTCAAAATTTTATAACCAACATCCTCGTTTTAAGATGTACCTTGGATAGATGAAATCGTAAAGTGGTTTCTGGATCCCTGTAAATCTTATTATGCAAAAATGGGATAGGAGAGGCACAAGACCCAGCATAATCCTAAATAATAGTTTTATATAATATTTTAGGGCACTAAAAATTTCCATATAATGGTGTTCTCTTGCTCTCTTAGGATTTAAGTTTCAAATTAGAGGCGACGCAAAAACAACATACAAGGCAAGGAAGCTTATAGTGATCGTGTTTGGGATGCAGGGACAGGGAAGAACAGCTAATTTCCAGGTAAATTGTAGATTTGAGGCAAGGAAGACAAAGAGCCAGAGAACAAGAAGGAAAGTGCAGAGGGAATTTGCTTCTGACTTGTTGCTCTTATAAATACTGTTTTTCTGATGAACCCATGACTTCATCCCTGTCTTCAATTGTTATTCCCATCTGGGTTCTGGAGTGAACACATATGATGGCAATAAGCACATACGTCCTGAAAGGAAGAAGGACTGCTAGGGGGCAATTTGTGGTGGGAGGTGTGGGGAAGGAGGCCGTGAGGGGCTGGGGTCTTAACTCACCATTTCCCTTCTTTTGAGAAGTCAGCACAACTTGATCAGTGAGGTTAGGCCAGAGGCTGCTGTTTCTAGGAGCAGGGACCACCGCAGGCGTCTGCAGCAAAGCATTCCCAGGATGTGGGGAGGGCGGCCATCCTGGCCAGGGGCACATAGAGAAAAGCCAACAGACAGCCCACAGGCTGGCAGAGCAGGGCATGGGACGCCCAAATAAAAGGTTGTGAGGTTTGTGGGGAGGCCTAGAGGATCTTGTGGTGAGGGAACAGAATGTGGCAGAGCGAAGTAAGTAAGAGTGAAGAGCCATGGTTTCCAGATCCTCACAACAGTTCTCAGGAGGTTAAAGAAAAGTGTTTCTAAGGCTAAGGGCATTGTCTCAGAGCGGTCCTGGGGCCTCCAGTGGCCCAATGTGGGCCCATGCCACACGTGGTGCTCAGTAAGCGTTGGCTGCATTTAGGGATCCCTGACTGAGTCATGGACTCCGTTGAGGTAAAGCCCAGAAGATAGCGTTCCAAGCCTGTGTGCCTTACTGCCCTGATGTGGAGATAAACACGTGTGAAAGGAGGGAACGTTGAGAATTACAGACAGGAGTTGGGGGATGCCGCGTTGGTCTTCATGGGGGAGCCCTTCCCAGTGTCTACAACCGTGGACAAGTTGGCTCTTTCCCAGCACTTTTTATATTTCCCCAAAGCAGCAGTTCCAGATGTTAGAAAGGTAGGCGGCCGATTCAGAGAGCCAAGGTTTCAGGAGGAATGTGACTCTTTCACACTAAATTATGGTTTGGCCCAACTATTCCAGTCACTCTAGGGAGGAAAATGCTTCAAAGGACAAGGGTGAAAGAGGGAGATGTCACCTCCTGTGTGCTGACGTACCTCCTTTTCCTTAAGTTCACAGCGAGATGCAATGTAATAATGTAATAATCCAAAAGGTGTTAAAAGTCGTCTGTGAGCCTCACTGGTTTGGGGATTGGTGTTGTGTTTTATTCATTTATCTCTATTCCATGCCCGTCCATTCTTCCCACTTCTCGGGCATTATTCAAAATAAACCAAAATTAGAAGCTTTCAAAATGTCCGTATTTCTGATGTGGCCAGTATTCATTGCTATATCTTTATTACTCCGCTGAGGTCTTTCCTAAGAATGCTTTTCCTTTTTCACCGATTCTTGAGATAGCTTTTTTCTGTTGTTCTACTTGGAGCCACAAAAGCAACACAAAGCACATAAAATTTCTTAGGATATGGTGCTTCTTAAAGATAAGGAAACCAACAAGGGGGATAATACTGCCCAACAAAGATTTGAGTGCACCCAATCAGACAAACATAAGCCATCTCTGGTCGTGTTTACGTTCAGGACAGAAGCTGTACACTTGTAGACGCGTAGCCTACCATTCTGGTTTGGTGACTGGAAATAGGACATAACTGTTATTAATGGGATTCTCTTAACTCTAACATCGACAAAAAAGAAAGCCAGAATAGGAACCTAGCTTACTGAATGGCTGCGTTAGTAAGTAAAATTCAAATGACTTTTTGTTTTATACTATTTATAATAAAAATAGTAGTGTGTTTAATTGTAGGTTAGAAAGGGAAATATGGGTCAGGACCAGCTATTATGGATTTTGTTTTCCTTGAGAAAAGGAAGTCTGTGCTGAGTTATGATACACACATGTTGGTTCTCTGTAATTTGCTATCAGATATTTTTCCAGGCTTCCCATCTATACCACTTTCACCCACTTTTGGAACTATGCTTTTTTGAACGGGGCTTTCTACTAAATTAAAACCATGAAAATAGTCCAAAGCTTCACCTTTAGTTTGTTTTCCAATCCTCATAGGAGAGAGAGAGTGATACTATTTTACCTTTATCTTTTTCCTGTTGCTACTGACTTGCAAGAAAATCCAGACAGGTTGATCTTGCCAGCCTTCAGCAGAAACCAGAAGGCTGAATTACCATACCTCAGCGTTTTTCTCTTTGAAATTTATATATTTAAGGAACAACCTAAGTGACTTGGCTTATTAAAGCTTCTGACAGGTTAAAAATAAAGAGTACCTTTTAAAAATACTCTCTGGTCTAAAAATAGGTATAATCACGTAACTTTAAAGCACACATCTGATTTTTTAGTAAATATTAGTTACTCTAGAACTTTGCTAATAATTTGTTGATAGGGTGATGATTTTGCCCATTGCCTGAAGATGGGCAAGTATCTGTGAAATCAGCCTTACACGAGGCCCTTTCCTTGTCTCCCTCATATTTAATATACACTAGAGCCACAGTTAACCAGAAGAGTATTGCAGGATTCTCAAGATGTGTCCTCTATGCTGAAATAGAAGCCTGCTTACCCCGGTATCATTGGCCTTTGCACCCTGTCATTAAAATATGCAAAGCCTTGTGGAAGGACTGTGACTTTTAAGTATGTTTCTCTGCTGTTTCTCTTCAGCGTGCTTAAATTTACTATTATTTCTTGCTGCTCACAGTATACAGATCTGAAAAACGCCAGGCCGACCTACATTTTTGTCTCTGGGTCTGGCATGACTTGAGCGCCACGTGAGCAGTGGCTGCCGAGACAAAGTGTACCCTCCTTGGGGTGAATGCCTGCTGGACAAAGCCCTGTCTGCCTGTGCCTTGGCAGAAAGCTGTCCTTCTGCTGCAGAGATCCCCGTCACCTGGTCTAGCCAAAGAGAAACTTGGCCAGCCAAGAGCCGTTCCTGCTTTCCATGGCGCAACGAGAGATCGTTTTCTTCTTTCTATCAGGAGCCCCTCCAGCCACTCAGCGTCCCTCCTCATGCACCTTACGCAGAGCACGCCCTCTCTCTGAGACAGAGCTCTAATGCCATTTTTAAAAAGACAATCAGGTGAATTTTTGAGGTCTCATATCCTCTCCTTGCCATTTGGCAGCCCTGCTTCCCAAGGGAAGACAGTACCGTACTTGCCAAAAAATTTTGTGTTAGAAAACTCCAAGCTTTTCCTACAACCTGCTCCTGGCAGGCTGTTCTCTCAGGTTGGAATCCAGGATGCCTGATTTCAGTAGGTCAGAATTCCCCCAATCTAAAGAAGACTTTGCTTTTTAGTTACGTAACTTCTAAAAGAGGAGCAGTGATTACCATTCAGCTTTGAAAAGAACAGAAACATGGCCGAGATTAAAAATTAATGTCCACATGAAAGCCAAGAGAATTCGAATTGACCACCAAGTTTTTTCTTTGGAATGGGAAAAGCCTGTATTTTGCATTTCCTAATTATGGAGTGGGACAAATGTTTGGGTGATTTCTTTTTTCCTTTTCTTGGTATCTGCTGAAGTGCTACATTGGCAGGCACTAGTCATAAACAGGAGTCATGCCCTAAGCTCATAATTTTATTTTGTTTTTGTTATTTCTTCTTTCTACAAGTCACACTAATGTTATTGCTGTGTGTGGCTACAGTAATTGTCATTTTTCTTAATGCTTTTCATGCCTGTAACAGGACCTTACTAAATAATGACTGACTGAAAAAAAAAAAAAAGCCAGGTGCAGTGGCTTGTAATTCTAGCACTGTGGGAGGCCAAAGCTGGTGGATTCTCTGAGCTCAGGAGTTTGAGACCAGCCTGAGCAACAGCAAGAGCCTGTCTCTATAAAAATAGAAAAACTAGGGCAGCGCCTGTGGCTCAAAGGAGTAGGGCACTGGCCCCATATGCCAGAGATGGCAGGTTCAAACCCAGCCCCAGCCAAAAACTGCAAAAACAAACAAATAAACAAAAAAAGACTAGCCGGGTGTGGTGGCATGTGTCTGTAGTCCCAGCTACTGGAGAGGCTGAGGCAAGGGCATTGCTCAAGCTCAAGAGTTTGAGGTTGCCGTGAGCTAAGACGCAATGGCACTGTATGGCCAGGGTGAGCGAATGAGACTGTCTCAAAAAAAAAAAAAAATCAAGAGTAAAATTAGCAAAGTTCCAGAGTAACTAATATTTACTAAAAAATCAGATGTGTGCTTTCAAGTTACGTGATTATACTTATTTTTAGGCCAGAGAGTATTTTTAAAAGGTACTCTTTATTTTTAAGGGTGACAGAATGAGACTGTCTCAAAAAAAAAAAAAATCAAGAGTAACATGCAGTTTCAATTTATGCGTAACAAAGCCATTGTGAATCGACTGTTTCACAGCGGCATTACCTACACTGTCTTCTGCTCCTGCCCCGTTGCTTGGTAGGTGCCAGGATGAGTGTCCAGTGGGGACCTATGGACTTCACTGTGCCGAGACCTGCCAGTGCGTCAATGGAGGGAAATGCTACCACGTGAGCGGCGCCTGCCTCTGTGAGGCCGGCTTTGCTGGGGAGCGCTGCGAGGCGCGCCTGTGTCCCGAGAGGCTCTACGGCATCAAATGTGACAAGCGGTGCCCCTGCCACCTGGACAACACTCAGAGGTGAGTGTCACCTGCTCTTGGAAGGTCCTGTCTTATTTACATTTTAACCTCAGCATCCAGGATTTGAGAGGAGGGATTGACAGAGAGTTCCGCACCCCAAGGCTCTTGCTGTCTCTGGGCTGTCCCGGGAAGACTTTTTTGCTTGGAGTGATGACGCATATCAGAGGTGCTAGCGCTGTTAGATGGTCATTGGTGGATATTCAATTCTATTTATTCTCTATGAAGGGCCGCTGATGAAAGTTAAATGTGCTGAGGTTAGTAAGAACGTTTCCCTAAGTGAGGGATTCTGTGATAATCTCTAGGAAGCGAAGATGCAGCGATAGACAAAGGGTAAAGCCAAGTTCAGTATGTAAAGACCGTGGGCTGACAGCACATCTGTAGAAGAGAAAAAGAGGGCCATAGAGAGGAAGTGCACCAGTGGAAGTTTGTGAAAGTGCTTCACATGTGGCTGTCACATGTGAAATATCTTTTCAGAATTGATTACTCTGACATAGGACTCGCAGGGGCCTTTTAGCTTAAAAATTTGTGAAGAATTTGAGAACCGGAAACCACGATCCCACCCACCCTACGGTACCTTGTCTGCCCCTGAAAATATTTTCCGGACCCCTCTCTTCTTTTGCCTCCCTCAAGGAGCAGGTATACATAACTTAAAATTCTGGGCCTCGTTTACAGACTGCTGGCAAAGCTGAGTTTGACAAAAGTGCATTATATTATATAGCAGTTCGTGTGTTACTAAAACGACTTATCTGCCTTCAGCACAGCTGTTACTTCATTTATATTTCTGAAAGATAACTCGTGGCCACATCAAGTCCCAAATGCACAAAAGTTAAAAGTAAACAGAAGGCGATTGATCTCTTCTTTAAACCATTGTTAGCAACAGAAAAATAGACTCTGTGCTCTGTGTGTGTGTGCTGGGATACATTTTAGTGGGACATATCAAAGAATTGTATTCACTACGTGATTCAAGTAATTTTGGAAGCCACTTTGGTCAGCTTTTGTATTTATTTCTATTGGAAAATATTGCCATTCTTTACATGACCAATTTAGGTAAACATTTGGAGGAGTAAAAATGAATAATCTCTGTAGGTTTTTGTTTGTTTTTCAACTCTCCGCTATTTAGGGATCTGGCAGGATTAGGGACCAGTCATGAGTTTGACTCCCTTTCCTGCTGTGGAAGGCTCACTGGAACAGAAAGTAGCCCCATGTCCTGGAAGCTTAACACGTTATACCAGTGCGCTACTTTGTTGTGTGTAGACACAGCTAAAATTAAACTGAATAATAAACCTACATGAAGAGCTCCACTCTGAGAAGAATTGGAGAAGCAGGGAGGATGCTGGTTTTGTTGAGTACCGTGTTAATAGTGCCAAGGTGTGAGTAGAGAGTTATTGGGGCCAGTACTGGGATAATGTTGACATAGGCCACATGTGCCAAAGCTTGTATGCTTTTATGTACAAGTACATTTGATTATCTGACAATCACATAAAAAATAACACTAAAAATCTGTCCAGTAATGTATATCAAATAATCAGAAAATTTTTAAAAAATTAGCCTATTAAGTACTTCCCAAAATCATGAAAGCTCTTTTCAAAGATTAGCTTTTACAAATTTCTATTAAAATCAATTGAATGTAGATTTATGACTCTTATCTTGTTGAATTCACAGTTGAAACTATCCATCTATCAATTATTCTTGAACTGCCATGTAAAACTCCTGAAAACACAGGGTCCCTTCAAACTGAAAGGCATAGAATCTTTGTATTAATTGAAAGTCTAGCTTGTTCACTGTAATGTTTAATCAAGCAGGTAGAGCTTTGCTGCTACAGAATTCATGATGTATATTTACCCTAAAGCCTTTCATTATAATTAATGACATAACGAATGCAATGTAAATTCACAGGCTACATTGACCTTAGGTACTAGATTTTGAGTTCTGTGAATGTACATCTTGACATATATTTAAGTACAAGTTTATATTGCATAAAAAAAATCCTCCTCCAAACAGTGGCATAAAACAACAATTATTTATTAGCTGATGATTTTCTGCTTGGTTATGTGGGCTGGGCTCAGCTTGGTGGTTCTTCTCCTGATTGGTCCTGGATATCCTTACTCATGTGTCTGGCATTTGACTGGGTGGTACGGGTGACTGAGTCACATTTTCCAGTGTCTAGCAGGATGGCCTGGGCTTCTTCATGTGGGGACTGGCTTCTGAAAGCAGCAAGAGACAGGGAAAATCCCAGCATGCAAGCACTTTTCAAGCTTTTGGTTGTGTCATGTTTGCTAATGACCCTTTGGACAAAGCAGGTCGCCAAACCAAGTCTAGATTCAATATGTCCCACCACTTAATGGGAATGTTGCAAAGAATTTGTAGCCATTTTTATTTTACAATCTATGGTACAAGTATGGCTGAAATATTCATATATTTATAAGTAACATCAGTATTTTAAATTTTAGCCCTACTATTGAGTCTAAAGACATTCACTGTGACTTTAAGCTAAAACTAACTTTTATGAGTTTGAAAAAGAAAGTAAAATTTGAGATTTAATGAGATTCCACATAGGATAGGTATATTAACTCTTGTTAATAAGGACACTTAATAGCCATAGACAATCAGGATGTGTCTGTTTGCAAATGTCATCTGATTGTCCTTGCATCTGAGCATTAATAACATCTAAGGAAGTGAATAAAAGAAGTTCAGTGACATATTCTGTTTCAGGCACTATTATATGGTATTGGACTCTTGTGTCACTTAACAATTAAATTGAAAAATTTACTAGAATATATATAGGTAGTTATATGTACTTATAAAATGACAAATATTCCCATATGTGTATAATTCTATTTTCATACATACAAAGCAATCTTCTCTTTAGACAGAAAACAGGTAATGAGTACATCTATCCTTCAACTTCCAATCTGCTGCTCCTCCATCAACACGTAAATCTCATTGCCAATTAAGCTGCCTGCACGAGAACCCATCAAATGCTTCCAGAGTGCTCTGGCTTCCTCCATCTAATTACAAATTGCAGAATACTAATTTTGGTGTCAATCAATCTGAGAACCAGTATGCTGCACAGCACTCACTAGGGGGCATTGAATATCAATGTCTCTGTCTGCCTTCCATATAGTTCAATTCACTGTACCCTAATTGTCTCTTTCATTTAACATGTTACTTCTACACTATGAACATTACTTTCTACTTTTTAATGTCAAGTAATGTTTTTCAACAAAAATTTCTTTTTCAGTATGTTAAGATAAGGTGGGCTACTTTAACCAATCCATCACTTGAAATATTTCTTTTCCTTTTCTCAAATTTAAGAACTTAATGAAGTAATTTTTTTTTTTCTTTGAGACAGAGTCTCACTATGTTGCCCTCGGTAGAGTGCTGTGGTGTCACAGCTCACAGCAACCTCAAACTCTTGGGCTTAAGTGATTCTCTTGCCTCACACTCCCAAGTAGCTGGGACCATAGGCACTGGCCTCAATGTCTGGCTGTTCTTTTGTTGCAGTTGTTGAGCTGGCCTAGGCAGGATTCACACCTGCTACCTCCTGTGTATGTGGCTGGTGCCATGACCACTGTGCTATAGGTACCGAGCCCTTAATGAAACCAATTTAAATTGGTCTCTGTCTTTTGCACATTGCAGATTTTTACTGATCCTGCTGACCCCTTTTCTGTACTCCATCCTAAATTTTAGCAATGCTCTTCCATGTTTAGTCTCCCCACCTACAGCAGGCTACTAGCAAGACTTCCTTTTTCTTTGGTATAAAAGCAAACCAACCTGGGTTCAAGGTCCAAGTTTGATTCTGCTGCTACCTGTGTGACACTTTGAATAAATCACTTACTCTCTGTAGCTCTCTGTTTTCTCATTCATAAAGTGGGATCATGCCTACCACTTAGGCATGAATAGTGTACACAGAGAGTTTAGCTCGGTGCTGGGGTCTAGACACTGCTCAGTAAGTAACTTCTACTCTGTGCATTCACCTACATCATCGTCACAAACATCACATGAGTGTTCCCTGCAATTAGTGGTTATTCCCCTTAGCCAAGAATTCAACATTTTGAAACAAATTTAGGGGAAATTCTGCCTTTGTATGCATCTATACGGAATACAATTTAACACGTGTCAATGACTGCAATATGTCAGGGAGAAGCAGATCCCTGTGGGAAAGCAAGATCCCTAGAGTTAGATCTGCTCTGCCTGGACTGTGACACTTTTACTTATTCACTCAGTCGGCATTTACTGTGGACCTACTGCGTACCCGAGATAGATGACCACACAGAATTAATTCTTGCCCTTGTGGAACTCACACTCGAGAAGGAAGACATTAAGAGACTGTATAAAAATAAGCATAGGACTATAAACTGTGATAATGGAGGTGCGGGAAAAAAAACAGGGTGCTAGAAAGGAGAAGGGAAGAGGTGGAGTTTAATCTGGGTGGTCCAGGGAGGCCTCTCAAGCTGAGAACTCAAAGGACAGCTGGACAGAGAGGCAAAGAGCAGGGAAATGGCATTCTGAAGACATGGAACAGCCCATTAGTTGAAAAACTTGATGCTTTATTATATACTAACTCAAAGAAATCCAGAGAGAACTATGACAAAAGATGAGGTTGAGAAGTAGGCCGTGGCCAGATGACAGGCCCATGGGCTGTATCCAGGGTGAGCATATATCTGGTCTCACAAGGACAGTCTGTTGTAGGCCTGCTGTCCTAGAGAAACTGTTAGTAACTCCCTCTTCACTCCTGAAAATGTCCTGCTTTAGACAATAAATTGTGTAGTCTATCTATACCAAAAGGAGTGGATTTTATTGTAAGTGGAGTGGGGAGCCTTTAGAGGATATTAAGGGGGAGAATGATGTGATATGATTTGCTCTTTGGGTGATGGGGCAAGAGTAGGTATAGGGAGTAGAGCTGGAAGGCTGTTCAGGAGGAGATAAGCGGGCCTGGGCTGGAGTAGGATGGTGACAGGGATGATGAAGAGAGGTGGGGAGATTCAAAACGTATTTTGGAGTTAGAATGGTTAAGCTCTAGTGATGAACTGGATATGGGAAATGAGGCAGGTAAACTGAGTGGTCGGTGGTGCTATTTGGAGAAATATAGACCATTCGGATATAGATCCATGGGGGGAAGAACAAGTGCTCAGTTTTTGGCATGTGACATTGGAGATGCCATGGTGATGCCGGGTGTTTGCTCAAGGGTAAGTGATTGCTCAAGATGATTGCTTTTAAACAGACTTGAGTGGACTGAAGTATATCTGAGACTCAAAACCTTGTCCTCTTGGTCTAAACCAGGAGTGTCCAACCAACATGTGGCCCCAGGCCACATGCTGATTTTGCAAGGTATGCGTGGAGATTTTTTTACTGCTAACTGGCTTTCCTTAGTGTTTGTGTATTTAATGTGTAACCCCAGGCAACACTGTTCTGATGTGTATGGCAGAGAAATAAAAGGTTGGACACCCCTGAAACTTCTTCTGCCCAAGAAATCATCTCAGCCTAGAATTATTCTTGGATATCTCTTCATACCATGTTTCCTGAAGATGTCGTGGGTTCCTAGGCTATTGCTCATGGGCCCTGAGTTGCAGAAGGGTTCTACAAATGTATCTAAATACATCTCTGAAAATGAGGCCCAAACATTCTGACCCTTGGGCTTTTTCTGAAGGAGAAAGATACGATATGAGGTTAGGGGGTGTGGCTGAGACTGTCTGGGACAGACTGGGACATCAGCCCCAGGGAGGTTCTGTGATTTCACTGAGGTTACTCAGGCAGGGGGAGAACAGGAATTACATCCTCCACCTTCATGCCTCCGAGCTCATTGTTCTTTCCGAGAGCAGCAAATCTATGAACAACCCTTTGCAGAGTGGTTGTTTAGCAAATGTCTGGATACAGCACCAGATTTTGTTGTTGGCCCTAGTTAAGGGGAGGGTTTTAGCCCTATCAAGATTGGAAGACCATCTTTAAACAGTGTCACAGTTGTCAGCAGGGCTAGTTTGTTTGTTGAGATTTTCCTGTGGTGGGAGCAGCACATGTGTTTTGAGCCAGAGTGCCACAGAATGCCCTATTGTGTCAGCTCTCACACACGCATCTTAGCACAGCTGATGTGTGCATTTGCCATGGAGCAGCAGCTGGCTGCCTGGCTGGGCAGGGTGGCTGCCTGCCACCAGGTATGAGGGGCTGAGAGGAGAAGCAGGCTGACCAGGTCACTGCCTTTGGAGTTCCTTAGACATCACACTGAATAACTGACTTGGTATTGTTTACTGGATGGAGTTTTCTAGCTTTTCTCATAGATTTGACTTTTTACTAAATTGGAGTTTTTGATGTTAGAAGATTAAAAGGAATTTCAGAAGGAAGGGCGTGGTTGTAATACTCATCCTGCTAGAGATGATTCTGATTTTATACAACTTATCTGCAGTAGCAATCTGATTTCAGCCAATTCATTAAATCAGACCAAGCCTGGAAATTAAGTTTAAATTATTATGCTCGGAATTACCCTCATATTTAGCGATCATGGCTAAACCAACATTTGTACAGCCTCGGGTGTCATGTCTACCCCAGAGTGACTTTGTTCCTTCCGTCCACATCTCTCAGCTGTCACCCCATGTCTGGAGAGTGTGCCTGCAAGCCAGGCTGGTCAGGACTCTACTGTAACGAGACGTGCTCTCCTGGCTTCTATGGGGAAGCTTGCCAGCAGGTCTGCAACTGCCACAACGGGGCTGACTGTGACAGTGTGACGGGACGGTGCACCTGTGCTCCAGGATTCAGAGTGAGTGCCCTGGGCTCTGGAGAAGGAAGAAGAGGGGTGTGACATGGAGCATATCAGTACTGTGGTTTATGTGACCTTCGGTGAAGCACGGTGAATGTGCTAAGATCACGCAAATCATTAACAAGAAGGAGGATGAAAAGAAAAGGACGAAAACAAATATAAGGAATAACTTTAGAACGATGACTCAGAAAGCTGTGAAACTATAAACATGGCATTAATTTGTATATATCAACGTGCCAGGGAGGATGATATATCGTAATTATTCCTCTAGTAATTATTTTACTGTGTTTTATTGGCAGCAAAACTACTTTTTTAAGGAGGTTGCATATTATTGTGGAAAGTTTTTGTTTCTAATTCTATGCAACTTAAGGACACATCATGCATCAGTTAGCACTTAATTATGTATTTACATTCTTGTATAGTTTGTTGCCTATTAGTTCTTAGGTTCCTTTGAAAACCTAGACTCTGCCAATATGCCCCTATACCTATAGGGAAGAATTTTGCCCGCAGTTTCTAGGAGTTCTTAGCTATAGATGAGGAATTTTGGGTTTAAAGGAAAATGGGTTGTTCTTGAATTATTTTCTCTCACTTTAAAGGGGAGACCTTGAACGATGAAGAATGTTGATGATTAGTACGCAGCGCATGAAGTAGAACTGGCGGGTGGGGAATCACTGAGCTAAGTGGCTCTTCGTAGGATTTTTTAACCTACGTCACAATCCTTTGGGTGAGCCCTTGAATTAGCCTTGTCTTAGGAGTTCTTTCTGTTTTGAAAGGAGGTGCCCTCCAGTCACCTTTGGTAGCCCACTTTTCCGTTTTAATGCTCCCTGGGAGATAAACTGAATCGTCCCCTGGGCCGAATGTGCTCTGCTGCTTTGCTTTACCCACTGATGGTATCACGTTTTATCCAAGGAAGTCTAGGAAGCGCTGGGCTCTAATATATAGTTCATGTTCACATTTCTTTATTTGTTGCAGTAATTTGATGGCTACAATTTATTTTTACATGTCCACTTGTCTGAACAAGGGCAAAGAGGTTTTTTTTTTGTTTGTTTGTTTTTCAGTTCTGCTATGAAGGCAAAACTAACAAAGGCAGCAGGCTTTTTTGGGTCCCATTTAATACTGTAATAGATCCGAAACTTAGGCCCGCTAGTACTGCCCTTAAATCTCTAAAATTTGTGTACTGGTGACATTACAGCAGCTTAAAAAAAATACAGTGTGTTAAAGTTAGAGAGGAAGTATAATTAGCCTTGCCAAGATATATTTTTCGTTTATTTGTGTTGGCCTTGTTTTAGCTGGCAACATTTCATGCGTTTTGCTCTTTCTGCCTGACTAGGGCAGTGACTGCTCCACCCCGTGCCCTCTGGGAACCTATGGGGTTAACTGTTCCTCTCGCTGTGGCTGTAAAAACGATGCTGTCTGCGCTTCTGTGGACGGATCTTGTACTTGTAAGGCAGGTAAGAGTGGGCCAGTCAGTCTCTTATCTGCTCCTGGTCCCCACATCTCGTAGAGTCCCAGGAAGAAATCTTGGCCAGAGCTCTAGCTCCCGCTGCCCCAAGGCTCTGGTGCCTGACGTCAGCGAGCTCCTGGCGCTGAGGCTCTGATGCTTTCCTGAGACACGGCAAGAGGCTCATGTCACATTCTCTCCAAAGTCCCCGCCAGCTCCAAAAGTCTGTGAGCTTCTGTAGTTTTGGGAAGAGTGCACAAGTAGACACGTGGCCATGCCCCTAAATTGGCCAGTCTGTAGTTACGACAAGAAATGCAGCTAAGTGCTGATTTTATATGAAAGCAGAACACGTCACCCTACCCCACCTGTGTAGGTTTAGCCAGGATCCCGGATGCACACGGTTCACAGTTAATGAGGCCCTGCTTTAAAGATAGGGTTGTGTTTTCCAGCACAAACTGTCCTCTCCCTCCTGTATAATATTCCACTTTACAAATCCGAACAAAACTAAGCATTACACACCGTGCATCACTGCGCACTAAAGCGCTCCCACACCCTCCCACAAGCGCTCGCTGAAGCGCAGAGGCGTTTCCCCCCCACTGGACTCCTCCACGGAGCACATGGCACCCGAGGCCGTCTGGGTCCTCAGGCCTGCGTTTTGTTCGTTTCTGATGGAGGCCTAACTCAGCAGAGCCGATGCTCTCTGCTGCTAGAGGGTGGGAGAGTGCATCTCCGAGGTGTTTCTAGAGAGAACCCGGCTTGGAAAGGCCCCCCAGAGCTCCCTGCCGCCTTGGTTCCCTCACGTGTGCTGGCATTCTTGTTGTACAGGCTGGCACGGGGTGGATTGCTCCATCAGATGCCCCAGCGGCACGTGGGGCTTTGGCTGTAACTTAACATGCCAGTGCCTCAACGGGGGAGCCTGCAACACCTTGGATGGGACCTGCACGTGCGCACCTGGCTGGCGCGGGGAGAAATGCGAACTTCCCTGCCAGGTATGTCCGAGCCAGCACCCCACTGGGGACACCGGGAGGGGCTGATGCCTGAGGTTTGGTTTCTTTTTTGCAATTCTGTTACTTCACCTTAAGTGGCTCCTCGTGAACCAAATTTCACTCACTATTAGAAGGATCACGGTATTTGAATTCACACTGGACATAGGCCTGGAAAAGGGATAGACGGGGAAAGACGTGGAAATTGGTTGGGTAGCCTTTGTGAGAATGGCTCCCTTCTTCATCTCACACTGTCCCCCACCCCCACCAAGCCCACCCACCCCCTCTATTATCCTGTTTCTTGGTGGCAGCTGGTCAGCAGTAGTGGTCAAACACCCAGTGTATGCCTGTCAGCTCTCTAAATATTTTGTTTCTACATAATAGAAAATGGAAATCCCCACCCCTCTGTCTTAGGAGTGGAAAGTGGCAGGGACTTGAAAGGGGGTGATTGATCGTCGTGACTGATGTCACACAAATGCTCACCCAAGTGGATGATTCGGAAACAGCCTCTTTTAACATAAATACCTCCGGAGCCCAGAGAATCTCTGAAGAGTTCCCTGTGGCTGGTTCCATTCCCTTGACCTACTTTGGGATTTAGATCATTAGAACTCTTATACTGCATCCAGCACAGGCTGATAGAGGGGCAAGCAGGAAGGGCATTCCGTGGCAACGTGCTCATTTCTTTCCCATCACTCTTTCTCCCTATTCCAATTCTTTGCTCCTGAGCCATTAGGCAAATCTCAGTGGTGCGTGTTCTCCAGCCCCAGGACATCATCTGATGGGCAGACGACAATGCAGCCCCCTCTAAAAGAGCCTCCCTAGAAACCTCTTCTCTCTCTGGGCTTCCTCCCATTAAGTCCAGCCCATTTCCCAAAGTAGAGAGGAGGCTGCCCTGGGCTATTCCATGCCCTCCCAAACCCTGGGACAGAATTAATTTAGCTTTGCCACTTCGGGAGACTGCTGAGCAAATTATTAGTAGTAGGCATGGGCTGGCAGTGACCTTCCACTCTCCATTCACTCTCCATCTGATGGTAGACAAAGGGAAGCCCCTGGCACTATCTCGTCCTTTTTTGTACCTTAAAGAGTTAGGAAACCAGGAAGGCTGGCGGTGCAGTGGTTCATATCATGGCGTAATTAAATCCTGTGTAGTCCTATCAAACATTGGAGGGACCTAAAACATGGTTAAATTCTTAAAAATTTTAACCAGGTCCTAGACAAATGGTCATTCCATCTAGCACCCCCTCCCTGTTTACTGGTTCCCATGTTCCTTCCTCTTGGTAACTGTGCACCCTTGTTTTACTTAGTGTCTGGGTGGCAGGGGAGGGTTTTAGCCTTCTCCCTCCATTCTCAGGGTCTGGCGTAAAGGAGTGGGGCTCAAAAATGCAGAGCTCTCCACTTTCTTCTCACAAACAGAATGATTAGTCCCATGCTTGGGCGGCCTGGCTCACGCCTATAATCCTAATTCTCTAGGAGGCCAAGGCGGGTGGATTGTCTGAGTTTACCAGTTCAAGACCAGCCTGATCCAGAGCGAGACCCTGTCTCTAAAAAATAGCCTGGGGTTATGGCAGACGCCTGTATTCCCAGCTACCCTTGGGAGGCTGAGGCAAGGGAATCGCTTAAGCCCGAGAGTTTGAGGTTGCTGTGAGCCACGACGCCACAGCATTCTACCAAGGGAAACATAGTGAGACTCTGTCTCAAAAAACAAAACAAAACAAAAACGAAATGATCAGTCCCATCCCTGATCTCCTTTGGACCTCCCAAACTTACGTGCATGTGGAAACCTAAAGATCCAGGAGGGAAGGAGGAAGGACCTGTATTTAGGATCTGGATCAGAATACTTCATGTGGCTCAGACTTTCTCATGGAAAGAAAGATGCGCATGAGGGATTATTTGTTAGGAACAAGAGGTTTTCATTTTTTTTTTTTTATAGTACTATGTATCCCTTTGGTAATTTGGCAGAGCAAGCTTAATTCAATGGGAACTATCATTTCTTTATTTTTTTATTTTATATATATATATATTTTTTTTTGTGACAGAGTCTCAATTTGTCACCCTCAGTAGAATGCTATGTCATCATAGCTCACAACAACCTCAAACTCTTGGGCTCAAGTGATTCTCTTGCCTCAGCCTCCCTGGTAGCTGTGACTGCAGGCACCTTCCAGAGCGCCCAGCTATTTTTTAGAGATAGGGTCTTGCTGTAGCTCAGGCTGGTCTTGAACTCCTGAGCTCTGGCAATCTACCTGTCTGGGCCTCCCAGAGTGGTAGGATTACAGGTGTGAGCCACCACACCTGGCCTTTATAATTTTTTTTTTTAATGGGCCAGTGTCCTTTCTTTCTACTGAACAATGCATTATCTTGTAGAGAACAGTGAACTATTTTATAAAAATCTTTAGAGACAAACAAAATACTTTTATGAGCTATGGCTTATGATAAGTCTCTTTTAATTAATTGGCATATTTATATATATTTGCATACATGTATAACAGCATATTGGCATAACTGGCGTCACTATTCATATGTCCTAATCATTATATCAGGCATAAACTAGGATTTGAGCAAATTATTTTTTTCTTTTTTTTGAGAGAGAGTGTCTCACTCTGTGGCCCTGAATAGAGTGCTATGGCATCATAGCTCATAGCAACCTCAAACTCTTGGGCTCAGGCAATCCTCTGGCTTCAACTACCCAAGTAGCTGAGCACACAGGCGCCCTCCACAACACCTAGCTATTTTTTCTATTTATATATATATAAATAAATATATTTATTTTTTGAGACAGAGTCTCATTATGTTGCCCTTGGTAGAGTGCTATGGCATCACAGCTCACAGCAACCTCACACTCTTGGGCTTAAGCTATTCTCTTGCCTCAGCCTCCCAAGTAGCTGGGACTATAGGTGCCAACCATAATGCCCAGTTATTTTTTGTTGCAGTTGTCATTGTTGTTTAGCTGGCCCAGGCTGGGTTCAAACCCACCACCCTCGGTGTATGTGACTGACACCATAACAATTGTGCTACGGGTGCCGAGCCAGTTTTTCTATTTTTAATAGAGACAGTCTCTGCTTGCTCAGGCTGGTCTCAAACTCCTGAGCTCAAGCAATCATCTACTCACCTCAGCCTCCCAGAGTGCTGGGTTTACAGGCACTGTACCCAGCAGGTTTGAGCAATTTTAAAATACTGACCTAGAGCCTACATTTTGGCAACTAAAAAGACATGGGAAGAGGTGATTATGATGCATCTTCCCCAGAGGTACTTGGGCAAGCAGGGTACTATATCCGAAATGAGTAACCATGGACCACGGCCCTTTGTCTCCCATCGTGGGGTTTCCCAGGCCTTCACTGATGTCTCTGCTGCTGTCTTCCATGCAGGATGGCACATATGGGCTGAACTGTGCTGAGCGCTGTGACTGCAGCCATGCAGATGGCTGCCACCCTACCACAGGCCATTGCCGCTGCCTCCCCGGATGGTCAGGTGAGACCCAAGGGCTGCTACATGAAAGGGGAAAACTACCAAGCAAAATCATTGTTCTGCTTCCAGACCACTTCACATTCTCACCCACAATGTATGAGCATTCTAATTTTCTATATCCTCACCAACAATTTGTTATTGCCTGACTTTTTGATTATAGCCTCCTAGTCAGTATAAAATGATATGTCACTGTGGTTTTGCTTTACATTTTTATGACAGTTAATGATATTGAGGATCTTTCTATGCCTTTATTAGCCATCTATATATAGATCTTCTTTATAGAAATGTCTTTTCAGATCCTTTGCTCAATTTTAATTGGATTACTTTTTTATTATTGAGTTTAATAGTTCTTCATATGATCATCCCTTATCAGATATATGTTTTGAAAATATTTTCTCCCATTCTTTGAGTTATTTATTTATTTATTGCTTTCTTAATGGTCTTTGAAGCAGAAAAGGTTTTATTTTGATGAAGTTTAGTTAATCTTTTTTAAAATCATGTTGCTTTGTGTTTTAGTGTTGAATCTAAAATACCATTGCGTAAGGGTGGTGCCTGTGGCTCAGTGAGTAGGGTGCCAGCCCCATATACTGAGGGTGGCAGGTTCGAACCCAGACCTGGACAAACTGCAACAGAAAAAAAAAAAATAGCTGGGTGTTGTGGTGGGTGCCTGTAGTCCCAGCTAATCGGAAGGCTGAGGCAAGAGAATTGCATAAGCCCAGGAACTGGAGGTTGTTGTGAGCTGTGACACCACAGCACTCTAATAAGGGTGACAAAGTGAAACTCTGTCTCTAGAAAAAAAACATTGCTTAATCCAAGGTCACTATATTTATGCCATTGTTTTCTTCTAAAATTTTATCTTGTTTGTTTCAGTCTTTGATCCATTTTGAGTTAATTTTTATACATAGTTTGATTTAGGGGCTCTAACTTGGTTACTTTGCATGTGGATATCCATTTGTTTCAGCACCATTTGTTGAAAAGACTGTTCTTCCCCCACCTCTTGAAACCCTTGTCAAAAATCAATTTCCCATAAATATGAGAGGGTGTATTTCTGGCCTCTCTGTTGTATTTCATTGTTTTACATGTTTATCCTTATGCCAATACTATACTGTTTCTTTACTGTAGCTTCATAGGAAATCTTAAAATTGAGAAATGTGAGTCCTCCAAGTTGGTTCTTCTTTGTCAGGATTATTTTGGCTATTCTGGGTCCCTTGAATTTCCCTTGAATTAGGATCAACATGTCAATTTCTACAAAGAAGTAAGGTGGAAATTTAATGGTGGAACAAATCTATAGATCAGTTTGGGGGGTATTATCAACTTAATATTCAGTTGATCAACTTAAGTTGATCCATAAACATGAGATGTCACCAGCAACCCCTTCAGTTGTGTCTTAGAATTTGTTAAGAGCCTTTTGGTTTCTGCCAGGAGATGAAATGTCATGCGCTTGGTTTCTGGTGTCTCAGAGCTACCTTGGGATGCAAGCCAAGGCTGGTGCAATGGACTTGGCGTTCTGTTGACAAGAGCTGCCCACAGACCCAAGGCCTCCCTGGTCCGTAGTTTCTTCTTGATGTGCAAAAGCTCAGGTAACTCTGCCTTCACAGTATGAAATTCGACTTCCTCATGCTACATTAGAGAAGGTTAAAACTGAATCACACCAGGGACTAAACCAGATTTTGTGACTTCACTAGAATTCTCGAAGTTCTCAAATGGAGTAACCACTACTGATTTGTCAATGACCACAGTGAGGCAAAATAGCATTTTTGATCTTCCGGCAAGTGCAGAACTTTCCTAATGAAGGGGCCACGTCATTTGTTTTGGACTACACTCTACCACATCTACGTTATGAATATAGAGAGAATGTGAGGCTCCAGTATCCACCTGCTTTGATGACTCAGAATCAGTCTGTGAAAAGCACACTGGGGTGTACATGAGAAGAGAAAGAGAGAGGATTTGGCCTGAAGCCAGCCTGAAAATGTGTTAGCTGCATTCCTCCGTCTGGGTCATGGGGTAAGACAAATTATCCCATCTGGCCTTAGACCTATTGCGCTCCTGCGGGAATGCAGTGGCTTGTCACACGAGTGATCATGTAATCCAATGTCCATCTGTGACTGGCCTTCTCCAGACGAGGAGGGCTCCCCTGCCTCACACTGGCCTCCTGCTTGTTCCTACATCTCTGGTTTGCAAGTTCTTTTTGCTCCTGGGCCAGCTGAGGCACCCCAGTGTCCTGTTCCTCTGGGCAGTCAATCTGAAGTGTAGTATTAGTCAATATCTCAGCCTGCTGGGAGGTCATCTCCACACTCGCAGAACACACTCAGTAAAAGCAAACATACACAGAACAAAAGAAATTTCCTGAAGTTCCAGAAAACACCCTACAGTTGGACAAAGAGTTGGCTTTTTTTTTTTAAAGAGCAGATTCTGTATTATTTACAGAATATTAGTGGGGGTGGCGCCTGTGGCTCATAGGGGTAGAGCACTGACCCCATATGCCAGAGGTGGCGGGTTCAAACCCAGCCCTGGCCAAAAACTGCAAAAAAAAAGAATATTAGGGAATATTTCATTATCAAAACACCCTACAATTGGACAAAGAGTTGGCTTTTTTTTTTTAAAGAGCAGATTCTGTATTATTTACAGAATATTAGGGAATATTTCATTATCAATACTTTTTTTTTAAAGAGCAGAGTCTGTATTATTTATAGAATATTAGGGAATCATTTCATTATCAATACTGGAGAGACTCATAACTTTTCATCAATAGACCTGTTTTGAGTAAGTACTGTCTAAGGACCTTTTTGAATATAAAGAAGCCTCTGCTCTTCATAGACTCCAGGTTTATTGCCGAGATTGCTCTGGATGACTCTCTTAAGTGGCACCTGAAAGGGTAACTGGGTGTAGAGTAGAAGTGAGGCTTTTCTGCAGAAGTCCATGAAATGTAACACGGAAGCTGGACTCTTCCCTCCCCAAATCAACAGGGTGGCATTACGTGCTCATTGCTGAGGACACTGGGGAGAAGCCGATCACAGGTAGGTCTGGAGCCAGAGATAAGTGTCCTGAAAGCCTTCTCCCACTTCACAAAGAAATTGGCAACCTGAATTGAGGAAATAGTGCCCTCACCTGAGACACAAAGGAGGTTGCCTTGCCTTTTACCACGAGTACATCTGTCTCTCCTCTGACTTTGCCCTGTTGCCTGGCGTTCGGCTCTCTCTTTCCCCTAAAGGAAGGCAGACCTTTTTATTTCCCCTATACCTGATAGTTTCATTTTACCTAGTCATGAAATTAGTCTTCAAAAGGAACTACTATGGAAGTTACCCAAAACAAAAGCTGCATTGACAGCTCAGATCCTATTTCCAAAAGAAATCAACGGTTTTTCAAGAGAAAAGACATGCACTTTTATTATAGTGTGTGGTTATTTAGAACCATAATTTACTGTCGTTGTTAGCTGATCAAAAAGAGGCAGATTGCAGTAGGAAATGGAGAAGAATAAAATACCATCCAGGATGGAGGCTGCGTCCTGGGCTGCTTCCTCGACTACTCTGCTACACACACACACACACACACACACACAGAGCTATAAAATGAGACTGGCTTTTCAAAACGATTGTTCTGAAATTTCCAATGTTAGGGAAATATAATTAGCTGTGGGTGTGTGTGCACACGCGCATATTTCCAGAGTAGTGGAGCAATGTATTTCATAAAGTATTTTCCCCAAATGACAGAAACAGGCTGATGTTTATGTCTTCCTCTCTGCTTTGACTTCAGTCAGCCAAAACACCTATTTGCTGAGCATTACAGCTAATCAAGATTTCATTCCAGCTGTCTGGGAACATATGCAGTCTCCAGCCTGCTTCCCAGTCCTGCCTAAGATCACTGTCACCTGGGAACTCTTTTAACTTGCAGATATTCCCAGTCCCCACCGCACACCTACTAAATGAGAATTTGGAAAGTGGGTAAAGAGGAAGAAGAGGATGGGGCCCCTGCCAGTCCTTAAAGCACCTTTTTTGCAAATGTGGAAACACCATGGAAATCCCCTAGGGTGTTCTCCTTGGCCCAGGGAGCACCTGTGGAATTTCTGACCTGACTGAGCCCCTGAGCCAGGGGCGCTTGTGTCATGTACAACCTGGACAACTTTACTGGGTGGCCCTGTCTGTCATTTAAAAACCTGCCCTAGTGGCCAGGTAGTGGTAGTTACCAGCCTAGTGTCATCTGCTGTGCCTTACTGCTCTAATTATTGAAGAGGTTTGGGTTGAGGGGAGCATGTTTTTTGACGGAAGCCTTGTTACCAGTGGCAAAAAGAGAAGAGACTTAAGGGTGCATTTATTTTTATTTCAGAATGACATGAGCGTACAGATGATTAGGTTATATTACTTGCATTTGTTAGGTAGAGTCCAAGTTTCAGTTGTGCCCCTCCCCCAGGAGCTGTGCCATCTGCCCTTACATTGTGCCTGTTAGGTGAGAGCACACCTGTCCCCCTCTCTGCTTCCTTCTCCCCTCTCTCCATAAGGATGCATTTATACCAGAATAAAAAACTATATATGCTAAATATATAAAAAGGAGATTAGGGCACCAAATCAACCTGTGGGGGTCTTGGGAAAGAGAGACCGGCGAGTCATGGTATAACTGTAAGGAAAGGGAAGGAGAATAGGAGGAGGAGGGGATTCTTGCTGGAGCCCCAGCCAGGAAGGGCAGAATTGGAAGGAAGAGCCCAGTAGGCAAGCTGGTGACAAGAGTCCAGCTTTGTCACTCTTCCCGGAGCAGAACGTGGCCTGCCGCAGTCTCAGCATCTCCCCACACAGACAGCCCTCCTTTTCACATTCCCCCAAACACCAACTTTAACTACCCGAGTAAGGGAACTGCTGCTTCTAGAACTAATCTGTCACCAGGTGAGCTGTCATGCAGCTAAGTGATGCCTAAGTGTTACAGTAAGGGGAGACCTACTTCATTTGTCCAGTGACATATAAGTGCAAATCTAGGTTGTGCTGATAATGTTAGTCCAGTGCATTTAATTAGTA